AAAAGATCTCAAATAGGGGAGTTTTTTGATTTTCAATAGATAGGGAACATATCGCACGCGAAAACATTTATGAATTTTCTGCTATAATCTTAATTTAAATAGTTTACAAATACTGCCTACTTTTTTAGCCCTTGTTTGATACTCATTTTTGAAGAAATAACGTATTTTGAATGGATTGTACCGGGGGTATAACTTTACAACCCCCTCATAATGAGGAGGTCGACAATTAAAAAATTCATGTGGGCCACTCAACATGTGAGGGGGCTGTACACTATGTACAAATAGTTTAATTTATTTTGAATTGTAAATTGATGAAGAATGTGTGGTCAAAATTTAAAGAAAAATTTTGAATTTGTGTATAATATTATTTTATTGAAAAAATAAGCCCCTAGTTGGGAGCCATTTTTTTCACACTAATTTTTTTAACTGTGGGGCCAATTTATGCCAAAATCGACATATCCATCATGATTGACAATTCAAATATATACCATATTATGTCAGTTGTTACTTTTGCCCCTCAATGCTAGATAAGTTTAAAAGCAAGGTTGGGACACTCATGTCGTTGTGTATGCCCATAACATTTGACCATTTTAAAAGTCACTATAATGTTCAATAATTACTGCATGTCCGCGACCCTTTGACCTTCTCAAATGATAAAAAAAATGAATTTAAATTTAGCTAAAATGGCTCCCAAGGGCTTAATTTTTTGAAGAATTGGATTATACTTTCTTTCTCAACACACGCAACCGGTTAAAACGTCGCCGTCTCTCACAGCCGGTATATCCCCACGACCCCATCACCGGCTATCCCGGTGCCTTATCTTCTCACCCAAATATCTCGCCGTATAAATGGTCTCTTTCTTAATTTTTACATTTCCCTAGACACGTGGAATCATTTTCTCGCCGGAGCTGCGTTGATTGGCCTCCGATTTTTATCTCTTAATTCTGTAAGTACTCTCGAATTATGCAGTAATTAATTTATTCGTTTGTATTGAATGATCTGATTGTTTAACTTCGATCTGTGTTTGATTTGGTTTGATGGATTATCATCTGTTATGGATGTGAATTTTTGGATCTGTACATGTTTGTTTTGGCTGATAAATATGTTAAAACCTTATGTGCATGTATTTTTATCTATACACGTTTATATATTTACTGCGTCTATATAGCCGTATGTGCATGTTTATACACTTTTTTGAGCTATGCATGCCTACCTTTTTGGTCAAGTTTTGCTATTTTGGCTAGTGATTTAACTGACCCGATAAGTTATTGGTAGAAATTAAGTGGTTATTTTGTCTTTTATAATCTGATGTTTTGTTTGGTTTGACAATTATATGTATGAAAACCAATTACCAAACGTACATAGGCTACCACAGAGTTACACCAAGATATAGTTGACATTGTCTTTGCTTATTCCAATATCTGAATCCTCAAAATATATTTCTTTGACTGGGAAAGATTGCACTGATTTGACTTTCTTCTGCGATTTCAGAGTTGTATTATCTGCACGAATTTTCTTTCTGTACCACTGCTTTTGATTTGAAGGGATTCTTGAAATAAGTTAGAAGAATGACTTCTCTTTTGGGCATTTTGTGCCCTCCATTTCTAGTTTCATAAGTTTGAAGTGGAAGTAGTTGTAGCAGTATCTATTGTGGCAGGATTTATTCTATCAACATTTCAGAGAGGTGTGAAAACATTATGTCTAGTCAGATAAATTTGCAACAAGTAGACATTTTTATGAAAAACATCATCCACCCTCAATATTTTTCTTGAAGGTGGAATATATTTTGCCTTCGCATTCTATGAAGAAAGATTTTCTTCCTGTCCATTGGAAATTTTCTGTTTAATATGATGGTTTCGTGAGATTCATATATTTGGTGCTTCTAGCAATTCTGTTCTGTTTTATAAACTTGGTTCTTTTTCCCACCACTTTATCTGCTGCAAATAGGAAGTCTTTAATCCTTGAGATCTCCATAGATGGCGGATAATGAGGACAGGACGGAAACTGTTCCCAAAGGAAATGAATGGGAAGTCGTATCACTCACTGCATCTGCATATGCTGCTGCCCCTGGTCCCAAACAGGTTGATCTGAGTGAAGATAGCCAGGGTAATTTAGTTGGAGAAAGTGAAGCTGAAACTTCTGGTGCTATGTTTATGTCAGGCCATTTTCTTTTCCCTCCAGGTCAGCACGAGAATTTGCCGTTGGAACATGAATACAGTGAGATACGAAATGAAAAAGAAGATTAAGGCAATCGTCCTCATCTGATTGTTGAAGAAAGGGGTAAATTGGATGTCAAAGATGAAGAAAATGTGAGCATCAAAAAACTGATGTCTGATGAATTTACTGGAGTTCAAGCTATTGATGAGGAGGCTAATAGGCTGTCCGTAAGTGGTGCGGATATACAGAATGACGTGGCCTTTCACAAAGAGCAGTTCAATTATGGTACTGCAGAATTTAGTGCGTACCATAGCATATCAACCATGGGCAGGTCCAACACTGTTGAAGAGGATGCAATGACTGACGATGTGGCTGAACCTTTTGAACATGCTTCGAATTCAACCTCGCCAAGTTTCCAGAAGCCTGTTGAGGAAGATAAGTATGATGGTGCTGACCTTCCTTGCAAAGCTTGGTGGAAAAGGCGGGCTCTTTCTTTGTATGCTCATGCTAAAGAGGCAAACACATTTTGGTCTATTCTCATTGCTGGAGCTGTCACAGGGCTTGTAATTATTGGACACAAGTGGCAGGAAGAAAGGTGGCAAGTTTTGCAGCTTAAGCGGCAGTTCGGGATCAACGATGAGGTATCAAGTTTTAAAAATTTAAACACATTGATTATTTTAGCGTGTCCTCATCTGGATTGATAGATTGGATTGTGTTTCATTTGTTCCATCTACAGTGCTATGCAGATCTGAAATACTTAATACGCCAAAAGTCTTGATTTGGGTACTGCTTTATTTGTTTTCATGTTTGGAAGTATGCTCCATGTTTAGCATTAGAATGGGGAATTAAATACATGTCCAAGTTTGATTCAGTTTGTGTAGCAACCAACGGCTCGATTAGATACCTAGTACGTTGAGTTACCAGAACCGGGATGGTTGATTGTTTGCGACATTGAAAAGATGGATTGTAGGATGTTTACTAAATGCAATTTTAGAAATATGCTACAAGGTCATTGGGTTGGTCACTTGGAATCCATTTCCTGCCTTGTTTTCTCTCATTACATAGTTCCCCTGCACCCTCAGCAGAAAATAATATAAATATATAAATGGAGGTGGACAACTATTCAAAAGTTTTAGGCAAAGTCCTTTAGTCTGATTTGAGGCCTTGTGCAAAGTGGAGATTGCTATGATACATGGTTTTGCAATTTTACAACATAAGAAAGCGTGAAAATGAGAAAGAATGACCAAAGGGTATATACGATGGTTATTCTTAGTCTTTGTTAGACATGATAAGCTGTATATGTGTCTGTGTAAGGTTACGTATGACTGAGTGCAATATGCAATCATCGCCATTTAGTCAGAATAGTGTGGATTTATGTGGCAAGCATGTTGACTTTGATGGCAAATAGAAAATGTATCAACTTGTAAGATGGTAATAATGTGATAAATGAGTACTTTTTCTGTTGACTCCCCTTTCTTCCGGAGCGAACTGGAACCAGACCTGCTATAACTGCGTTCTTCTGGTCCTTAGTAGTAGCACAAATAACAGAACGCAAATAACAGAGCATACTTTCTAAAAATATGTAATTGTCACAAACTTCGCATCACTCCAGTCTGCATGCTAGCATAGTTTGCCAAATCTAATATCATGCTGGGCAGTAGCAATGATTCAGTAACTGTTTTTAGACTTCAGTTCTTGATATTTTAGCTTGACATGCATTTAGCTCAAATTTTACCTAATCAACTCAACGTGATTTCTCATGGTCACTGAGGATCCACAGAATGTGGGCTAGATTACTTGTGGTGTTTTGACATGAAATGTTGTGTTAGAATGTATTGAATTGAAAGGTGGAATTCTGTTCATAATTAATCGAGATCATCATCAGTTAAGTGGTAGTGAGTTCCTCGATTCATTGTCCAATAGAGTTATGGATCCGTTGTCACGTAGACCGACAATGATCTCTACGATCAAAGTTATTTGCATTAAGCTCATTTTGATATTATAACCCAATGTCGTATTTCTTCTCGGTACAGAAGATGGGCAGGATACTTGGTCCCATATCTCGACTTAAAGACGTGATTGTTGGTGGCCATCAACGGTCATTTGTTCGTGGGAGCAACTCTGTAGAACGTTAAGATGATGACGAAAAGCTTGAGAGGGGGAGAAAATATAGTGAATGTCAAGTTCAAGGGCCTTTTTTTTTTTTTTTTTTTTTTTTTTTTAAGGGGTTTTTTTTTTTGCCTGGTTTTTTTTTTGTTTTTT